CCAGCAGCCAGCGTGAGCGGCCAGCAGCCGCAGTGAGCGGCCGTCCAGAAGCCGGCGACTGATCTGCCTCGCCCGGGAAGAGCGCGATGATGGTGTCAACTTGGGCCAGTGATGCAACATCCTCCACAACTAGACTGAAGAACAAAAGGACAGCAACTTGTCTGTTTCCCTTCCCCCAATTCCCCAGCACTGTTCCCATCCCCCAATTACCCAATAAAATTTTTTTTTAAATCTTTAAAAAAAAAAAAACAACTAGCCAACTAAAAGGCAGCACTGAGGGCTGGCCAAGTGGCTCAGTTGGTTAAGAACTCACTCAAAAGCGTGAGCGCTGAGCAACAGGGTTGCCGGTTCAATTCCTGGCCCGAGCTGAGCTGCCACTAAGTTGCCAACAGGTGGCAGGATGGCTCAGCTAAAAAAAAAAAAGGCAGTACTGATTACATACGGCCATGTGAGTCTATCCTGGGAAAGAACGAAATCATGACCACCTAGAAAAATATCAAAAACCTCAATATAGGGAAAGAGTCAGACACTGAAACAGATGTAGGATGGAGCATTAAGTTCCACTAAAAATAATGTTTTTGAAGAATGTTAATTACTTAAGAAAATGTTCAAAACATAATGCTAAGTTAATACACAGGATACAAAGTACAATTATAGCCTGATGTCTGTCTACCTATTTATATTTTTAAAAAACAAAAGAGAAAGGCAGTCCAAGTAATAAACGATAAGCAATGATTACAGAGGAGTGACTTCTGTTTTATTTATTAAAGATTTTGGTACTTGTCAAATTTTCTAAATGTATTTTAAGTTGGAAATAATAATCTGCTCACCTGTGGAGTCTAAATTTTCTTTACCAGAATTGTGTTTTTACGATGCAGTCCTCCGACCTGCTAACTGGCGACCAAGCTTTATTTGTGGTTGGCATGGCTGCACCATGTTTAAGCTCACTGTGTCAACTAGATTTTTTCATAGCCCTTAACAATTACAATAGTATCTTACTTTGCCACACAAATGTTTATTTCATGATGTCAAATAAAAGTCTCAATTGTAAATTACCTCTACAAATGAAAAGGTCCCGTTCTTTACGCTAGCCAAAGAATATCGCAGCACATGCCATTATAAACACTATACATAACCCGTCAGTCACCTGAAATTTAAGTCAGAAAGACATAAAATAAAGTCTATATTAATGGTACCTTCACTTAATTAATACCAAAATTGGTATTAAAAATAACAACCATTCCCATCCCTGTAATGTAAGTACATTTTGTGCTAGAGGCTCTGTTCTTATTTTCAATGCAGTCGGACAGACACACAGCGCCACCTACCTACCACCCGGTGTAACTGTCACCGGCTGCCGCGGTTCACTGCAGGCACCCTGCAAAATGCCCACAGACCACTGCTGCTCCCAAGGAAGGCAACAGCTCAGTCAGAAGCTCCTGTAACTATCCCAGTCCTGGGTCCTTGCAAGGCCGAATCTCTTTAGGGACGCGGGCCTTTTTACTCTGGAACTGAACCAAAGACGCCAACCCCAGCAATGCTAGAACAAGCCTATTTCTGAGATGTGGGCCATGTGCAAGCCCAACAGTCCTCTCCATAGCCTTCCTTCCTCGTGGCCCCTGCGGCCTCCCACATGGGGGAAGGGGAGGAGGGGAAGGCAGGCCGAGCCCTCAGACTCAAAGCCTTTCTGGATCCCCTCTAATTAAATGCAACCTGCCCCTTTTCTCAATTACCATAATTTGCATGATTCACTTTAATGACATTTTGCTTGTAGTGGTTCCCATGAGAAATATTTCGGTATTATTTTTAGCTTTTTTATAAGCTCCTGAACCCGAGGACCATCTCTCACGCACACTTAATCCTCTAATTTAACATCAGTGTCTTGTATGTGGCAGGCACTCAGATATCTGATAAACAGGATTCAGGAATGAGGCATCCAGATGGATTACAAAGCAACTCGACACTGGCTTCGCTCGCGAGTAAGACCATGAAAGTACTAAACCCTAACACCAAACCAGTTGCTACCGTGGCTCTCAATTTAACTGCACATGAGAATTATCTGGGAAGCTTTTAAATCCAGACGCCCAGGCCCCGCCCAATTATACCAGATTTTCTGAGGGCGGAGCCAACATCTGTATGTTGTAATGCTCCAGGGGACGCCCATGGGCAGCGGGGCTCGCACACGCTCCTTGCAGTGATTTGGCCTTTGGGGACATCACAGGCCTACCAAGATGGGCCTGTCACACATGAGTCCCCTCCAGGCCCCAACTCCATCCTACTTAGGAATAAGTAAATATTTCCAATCAGGGTGACTGACAGGAGAGTACGTAATTTAAGTGACAAAACAGTAGGGAATGTGTGTGCACGGCCTCTGTGGCGGCTAAAGGACAGTCATCTGGAAGCATCCAGAAAGGAGGTGGAAATTTGAGGCTAGATCTCCAGAAAGAGGTGAGGAGGGAGGTCTGCTCCAGCCAGGCAGCTGCACCTCAGCAGCCTCGCATAAGACCTCCTTGTTCCTACACCCCCAAACTTTCTTTTCTCCTGTGCTTTGTATGTCATATTCTCTCCCCTCTTTCAGTCCATCTTCTCTCTACTGAGTCTTGCCCGCGTTTAGATATCAAACTAGTCAACAAGCACAGCCTCATCTGATACCCCGCCGCCCATGCATCTGACACAATAGGTGCCCGCGAGGCACACGTCCAGCATTGTCAGGTGTTTTTCTCCTGTGTTTGCCTTGTCTCACTATTTCATAAAGCTTCCTTGAGTTCAAGGTCAGTACATATTGCGTTTTAGAATTCAGCACAGTGTTACTAATAATTTCATAATTCCAAGACTGAAAATGGCATCTCAGTGGAATTACTAGTCAGACAGGAAGGAGAGGATGCCCTACAAAGAGAGAGGCAAGAGGCCACCTTTTCCAGGTGACCATGGACAAGTAACACAGCGAAAGGAAAGACAGTCGCATCTTTTCTAAGCAACAGAGATTGTGCTGGCTCGCCCGATCGCACCAGTTCCAATCGACGAGGTTAAAGGAATTTGTCCCATGACAAGAGGAAAAAAGCAAGACCTAAAAAAAAGGTCTAAGGCCAATTTGCTCCATGTCACCCCAGTATCTCTAGTTTTGCCTCCTTTTCCCATGTCTGGGGATCAGTGTCATCATGTATCAAAGAAGGGGCTCCGTCTACACGCTGTCTGAGGCCATCTCTACTTCAAAAATCCTATCCATCTACCAAAAGTGAACTGAATGGTCAGATGAGAAAAACCTCACAGCATCACGAGCAACCCACGGCTGCCAGCGCGAGTTTCGTCCCCAATGTGGTGAACGAGGCTCTGTCGTGTGCAGGGCTCCTGGCTTTCACGGACAGGGAGACACGGCTCATGTTAGGTGAGACTTCACAGCTGGGGGAATGAGACGTGTACTTACTAAACTTTCACACTGTCTTTAGTTTTCCTTTCTTGTGCATTTTATTGGAGAATGGAGGTGTGTAATGAAGGATATGCAATAAGTAAAAATAGAATTATAATTTGTTTTCACCCGTAAAAAGCTGTCTATATAGGAATATTGTTTTCCAATAGTAAAAATGACACTTTTAACTACAAAATTTCAAACAATTTTTTAAAACACAATAAGTATAAAGTAAAAGTGATCCATCAAGAGTTTAGCATATATCTTATCACTCACAACCTTATCTTCTCTATATATGCAAACTATATTTTTACACAAGTGGAGTAATACTATATAAATGTTACAACTTGCTTTTTTACTTAACAATGTAGGCTGCAGCCATCTTTTCATTTGAATTTACACTGATTTACCTCATTCCTTTTAAAGGCTGCATGGTATTCCATCGTATAGATGACAGAAAATTAAGCCCCTTTACTTACTGAGCCTGATTGCCGCCTCTTGCAAACGCAGCTGCGTGACTCTGAGTGCGGTGAGGCGCAGTCCGCAGGCTGGCGTGCAGGGCACGCGTCTCTCCAGCAGAGGTTAACAATGAAAGACGGCTGACTAACCATCACTTTCTACTTTCAATATCTGGCTGTCGGCAATATTCCCTTTTATCCTATAACTACATGGACTAGTGTTTTCTCATTTCAACTTTGAAAATTCCTTGCAATCAGAGAATTTTAGAAACAATATTACAGGAGCATTTTCTATTTGACTGTTTCATGTCAGGTTCTAACTTCTTTCTGTCAACACCTCATTGGCAATGAACCTAAATGCACATCACAAGAGACCAGTGGAATTCATGGGAAGCATGAGAGAAGTGCCACTTTTATCTTTCAATTAATACATATAGTTAAAATTGTCCAATTTAAAATATACCTTGTCAGATAGGAATAAAAGATACTATTGTAGAATATTCAAATTAAATACTTCTAGCTAACTGAGTCATATTTCCAAACATTTGAGTCATCCCCACTCAAAGAAAAAATAATTTCCAATTACAGTAGGAGTGTCTGCATATAGTCGTTAGTGACCTATTTGAAGAATGAGGGGCCGTTAATGGGGGGCTGAGACGAGGCACCTTACCCGAGCAGCTTATACCTTATACAGCGGACGGCGGACATCGATGGGACAGTTCTGTATAACTTCATCAACAACATCCGAGATGGACTCCATAAAATCTGGGTTGGCAAACTAAATTGCACATAAACAGAAAAGAAACATTACACATTTCTCTCAATAGGACAAAATAGAAATGCTTTTTAAAAAGTGACTTTAACAAATATGAAGTGTACTATACCTTTAAAAACTTCACATGGGAATGAATGATATGTCAAACAAATCCCACGTGACTGTGTGCATGGAGTGATGAAAACATATGTCCCCTCAAAAGATAAAATGTGGGTTTAGTGAAGGGAAAATATCAGACAGCAACAAAGGCAGCCCAGCCCTGTGTTATGAATACAGTGAATCATGCTAATACGAGACTGTAAAAAGCAGGTACATGAGGTATGTGACATGTAATGAGAAACGCTATGAATATATAACAAGTATGTCACTTATGAGTACTAGAATTATGAAAAAATTAGCCAGGATATAAAGTCAATGAAAGTCAAGGAAAGATCACTGTACAGTGGCTTTAAAATAAAACAATCAACATTTTAACATTCATGTTACTGAGTAAAACAGCCTTAATTCAATTCCCTAAGTTAAGTAAGACAGAGTATAAATAATTCAATTACATTTTACAATGTAGTTTTTAAAATCAAGGAAAGCTTTACTGTCCAGCAGTGTCAGGGAAAAGAAGGTAACACACAGCTGCTCACCAGCTGGTCACTGGGCACGGTCAGTTTTATGTCTATTTCAAATCAATACTATCAAAGGCATGAGGGGGTTAGTGTGATAGTCTAGGTTACGGTACATACACTTTTTATGCCATTTCCCTAAACAAAATAGTCACAGGCAGCCGTTTGTAACCTACCTATTGAATATAAACTGAATTAGGCAGGAAAATATACCAAACCATAAATAAAATGCATTTTACTTAAGCCTTGAAATGTTGCCTCTGAATTACTGTTTCTACAAAAGTCGTAATGATTATTTGTGACTACCAATTAAAATGATGAGCATGTGGTTCTTGAAGCCCAACCAGCGAAGTAATGGACAGTCTAGCCCTCGGACAGGAGCTGCGACTAACTGGCAGCAGGGAACACACATAGCAGGACCAAGTGTCCTGGGCTCCAAATTGGGACTAGGAAGGACGATCAATCACACAGATGAGGTTATATGTTATCCCACTCTGGGTCCCTGAGAGGAACGAGTTTTCATGTTAGTGTGAGAGTAATTCCAGTTCTATCATCTTCTATTGCTCTCCTAACTTCTTCTAACCACTCGTGGTATAATCAATTGTTAACTATTTACAGATAATCACGTCTTTGGAGAGGCAAATGGGACAATCAGTCAAGCAGACAAATCGCACAGAGGGCTGTAACTGCCTGCAGAGCGACAGTGTCACTGAGAGATGACCTTAACGCACACAAGGTGGCAGTATCGCTCCATACACACCAGATTCAACACGCTCAAAAAGCGAACGTCTCACCTCGGGGTGAAA